CCCCAAAACCCCAAAACCCCAAAACCCCATTGCTCTAAATCTTTATATGAAAGTGTAAATTAGTTTTTAAAATTAATTAGATTATAATCTTTGAAAATGCTGGATATTTCTTATTAATATTTTTTATTACTGAATGAATTATTATATAAGGACTCATTTTGTCAAATACTGCTCTATAATCTCAGTGATTGCTTTTGCGCATATTGGCTTAGTTACAAACTTATTCATTCCTGATTCAAGACACTGCTGATGCAATTAGTCGGATGTGTAAGCTGTCAAGGCTATTATGCGAGTTTAATAAGAAAGATTAGGCTATGATTTTTCAATTAATCGTATCTATTTAGTAGCTTCAAAACCATCTAAAAGAGGCATACTACAGTCCATAAATATTAAGTTATAAGAGCATGATTTGTCCTTAGAAAAACATTAGCATCTAGACTTTTCTTATAATCTTGATTTAAACATTTCTACGGCTTATATACCGTTCATTGCTTTATCACATTAAAATCCTTAGTTCTATTCAATTATGGTCTGCAACGTCACCACATTGAATATGTTATCATCAACCACTAGTATTTTATTTAGTGACTGGCACTCACAATTTATTTTTTATTCCTCATTGAAAAGAGAAAATTTCCTCTGGAATGGTTAAAACCCTAACACATCTTATTTGCAAAGATGAAAACTTATTTCCTAAGAAAAATTTAGATTTTAGCAGCTTGTAGGATCTTAAAGGTACTAATCAAGGCCATATATTTCCTCATCACTATTTTGCAATGGCCGCTCTGTCAGAAGTATGTTATTTGAGTCTAGAAGAATACTTCCATCTTCGCATTTGACATAGAAAGTAAATTTGGTGCCGGGTTAGTCATTATCATCCACATAAATTTTTCCGTCAAATACCTCTACAATCTACTTACAAATACTCAAACCTAATCCTATTCCAGAGGTATTAATCTAGGATGTAGCATCTAATTTTCCAAACATTTTAAACAAATTACGCTAATCTTCAGTTGAAATACCAACTCCTGTATCAATCACACTGATTTTCAACTCTTTGTTAATTTTACAAAATGAGGCTTCTAAAGATATTTGGCCTTTGAAAGTAAATTTCAAAGCATTTTGGAGTAGATTAAGGATCACCTGCTTAATTCTTTGTTCGTCAATAAAGATTTCATGAGGGAAATTTTAGGAAATTTCAAGCCGTATTTTAATGCCTTTTTCTCTGGCACCCACACTAAACATATCGATAAGCTCCCTTATAGATTTAGCCATATCAGTCCATTTCATATTTTTTTTAAATTTCCCATTTTTTATCTAAAAACAATCCAGTAGATCATTAACCAAGAACAGCATGAAGCTACTTGAATTTTTAATTATACTCAGAAATCTTTTGCCTTAAGTATCATTTATGTACATATCCATGTTATTCAACAAGCCAATCATAGAATTCAGTGGGGTTCTAAGATCATGAGATACTGTAGCTGTAAGCATCTCGTAAAAATGATTTTCGACTTTCAGTTTTTCTAATTTCATCATAGGAGTCAGGTTTTTAATCATTATCATCGAATGGTAAAAATTCTAGAACAAAATTTACTGTTTACTAAATGTGACGATTTCAGTCTCTGTTTCGTTACTCTAAAGATAAGAGCAACGCCTATCTTCTTTCAATTATTGAACCTGATAATATTAGCCCTCTGCTTCGGCTGCTGTAAACACATTTTACATGTCATTATTAAGGATATTCTCTTATTGGGATTTGAAGTCGTAAAGCCTCAGGTTTTTCAATTATTCATAGTCCTTAGTGTTCTATTTCTATTGATTATTGACTTTAAATAGTCTTTTAAATTCATGATTGGCCAAGACAATATTTTTGTCCTCTTAGTTATAAAGCACAATTCCCTCCGGAAGATTATCAAATAGTTTAGTGAGTTCTTAATTCATTGTTTGAATTTAAGTAAATTATAAGAATTACAACCTTAATTTTTTCTCAGTATAATAGCTTGCATAAATACATAAGCAAGTGTATGAAAATGCAAGGGAGAAAGTTGTTAAATCAGTGAAATGTAAAATTAAGGCGTAAAAGGATGAGTAAATAGTCAGTGTTAATATTACTGCCACAGATGTTAAAAGCCAGTTATAATTTAAAAGAAACGTGGCGAAGATAAAAAAATATACTGTTGATAAGTTACTTGCTATCTAACTAAAGCTTGTGATTCCATCCTTCATATGAAACAATGTAAAACTGTTGCTTAGTATCACAAAAGGACTTTAGATTATTACCATTTGTTAAGGCCATTTATAAGAAATAATAAGCAGAAAAACATGAGCACCAACAGTTGTACCTCGAACTAACCAATAGATGTCTGGGAATTTTCGCTAATTTGTATAGGTACTTATAACTGCAACTAAGATAGTCCCGATTCTTATTAGCAAAACCATTAGAGAAATAATGTTAACATCTTTTGATCTCTCTTTTCTATAGCTAGCTTCAACAGTTTTATCTTTGAAAGTGAGTAAAAATAAAGATTCCATATTCGTCTGAATAATTCTATATATATTTAATATTAGTTTGAGACCTTTTCATGTTCTATTACTAAAGATATTAATTAAATCAGAGGAAAACTCTGATCTTACTAATTTTAATATTCATTTTGAATTCCGCTTTTTTATCTTATTTTCAATCATGGGGTTTTGGGGTTTTGGGGTTTTGGGG